CTTCGTTTAGTAATGAGCCGCAAATTATGCTGCTTACTGGTTAGCAATCTCAAAAGGTTGTTGTGTTAACATTTTGGAAACACTTTTATGCTTTGATTCACTCTTCCTCAAACTGAGTCCAGGCCTTATAACTGTGCTGAAAATAATTGAGTGCCTACAGCTGCTTTTATATTTCAATAACTTAGGGGAAAACTGCCATGGTGGAAAGGATCCTTCCTCTTCCATGCCTCAGACTGAGTTCACATGGCCCTCTCTCTCTGAAGCCTCTACTCTCTTTCCCACTTTCCTTTTCCCTGAAGGTGATTTTGTTCATTTTTTCCATACAGAGGATTGAACCCAGAGTCTTATACATGATAGGCAAACATTTGACCACCGAGCTACATCTCTAGCCATTTTATTTTATTTTATATTTTACTTTGAGACAGGACCCAATGGGCTGGACTTAAACTGGAGATCCTCCTGCCTCAGCCTCTGGAGTACCAGGGGTTGCAGGCATGTGCCACTATGCCCTGCTTCCTGTAAGTTTTTATAGGGCCCTAGAATTTAGATATTTGATTCTATAATATTTTGAGGAAGAGAATGGGGCAGGAGGTATTGTTGCAGTTTTTGAAGGGCACAAAACACTTAGTAAGCAGAGAAGATGAATATAGTTAATTTTCTTACAGAACTAAAAAGTCTTAAAGGGAACTGCTTAGGACTTTAAAATCTACCAGTTTAACAGTAAAGTGCTAAGGGGTAATGCAGAGGGAGCCAGGGAACCTACCTTTAGGGTCCACTCTCTCATGCCCCACAAACTCCTGGTTACATGGTACTGTCCACCGCCCTCCTAAACTTCTGTCCTGCTTGACCACTTCTCACTTTAGTCTCTGGGTCTGCATAGCACAGCCTCACCCTCCTGGTGGCACCCTCTCAGGACCCTCTCTTCAGATTCACTTTGTGTTGTTGGATTATTGCACATCAGCTTTGTAGAGATATAGCTGATGTGCTCTCCAACTTGCCCACTTAAAAGGTACAATTCATAGACACTTCTCAAAAGAAGAAGAACAAGTGGCCAGTGGGTATCAGTGAGTATATGAAAAACAGTCAACATCTTCAGCCACTGGGGAAATGCAAATCAAAACTACATTGAGATTCCATCTCACCCCAGTCAGCATGGCTATCATGAAGAATACAGACAACAATAAATGTCAAGGATGTGGCAGAAAGGGAACACAGTGTTGGAACAGAAGTAAATTAGTACAGCCACTATAGAAATCAATATGCAATTTCCTTAAAAAACTAAAAAGAGAGCCACCATTTGATCCAGCTATACCATTCCTGATATATCTCTAAAAGAATTAAAATAAGTATGCTATGGAGATACCTGTATACCCATGTTTATTGTAGCCTAACTCACAATAGCTAAGCTAGATGCCCATCAACAGGTGAATGGATAAAGAACGTGTGGTATTCATACACTGTGACAGTTAAGCTTCTTTGTTAACTCTACTAGATTAAGAGACTCTGGGAGAGATGACTGGATCGTCCACTGACGAACGATGTCTGGAGGTGAGGCCCAGGTGAAAGGAGGTCACTGGAGGGAGGCCTTCAGAGGGTACAATTCTCCACCATGCTCTTCCTCTGTGCTATGCTTCCCAGACAGCATGAAGTGAGCAACTTTATTCCCCTATGCCCTGCCATGAGGGATGTTCCTGCCTTGGAGCCAGCTAACCATAGACTGAACCCTCTGAAACCATAAGCAAAAGGAAGCCTTTTACTTGTGTGTACATAGGGTATTTAGTCCCAGCAATGAAAAGCTGGCTAATACACCATAATGCAGCATTATTCAGCTATAAAAGAGAACAAAATCATGTCATTTGCACTAAAATTTAGTGTAATTCATTTCCATGTTAAGTAAAATAAATCAAACTCAGAAAATCAAATATCACATTTTTTTCTCATGAGTAAACTAGGCAGAAAAAGAGAGAGGACACGTGAAAGTAGAAGGAAGACTATTAGGGATGGGGAAGGGGATCAGAGGGAGGCAGAGGCAAAGAGAGGCAATGGGGTAGGGTGATTGAAGTGTGGTATGCATGTATGTATACGTGCATGAGTATGCATGTATGAATATGTCAAAATGAAACTCACTAATCTGTATAATATGCACTGATAAATGATAAATAATAAAATGTACAACTCAGTGCTTTTGGTTTACTATATTTTTTAATGTTGTGATAAATTTCTATGACATAGAATTTTCATTTTAGCCACTTTTCTTGTGCAATTTAGTGGCCTTAATTTCATTCCAAATGTGCAAACATCACCATTTCCAAACCTTTTTTATCAACCCAAAAGAAAATTAGGGTTTTTTTTGTTTTGTTTTTTAAGACAGAGTCTTGCTACGTGGCTCAAGCAGGCCTTGAACTCACTTATGTAGCCCAGGCTGGTCTAGAATTCACAGTGATCCTCCTGCCTCAGCCTCCTGAGTGCTGGGATTCCGGATGTGCACCACCACACCCAGTTTGCAAATCAATACTTATTAAGTAATAACTCTCCATCCCATTGCCTACAGCTTTTCTGTATGTATCTCCCACTCTACATTTTTCTCTATGAATTTGCCTAGCCTAAGTGTTTCATATAAGTGAGCTCTTATACTATTTGTCTTTTTGTGTTTTGTTTATTTCTCTTAGCAAAATGCTTTCAAGGTTCTTTCTTGTCATGGTATGTAGCAAAATTTCATCCTTTTGCTGAATAATCTTCCACATTTTGCTTTTCCATTTATCTACTAATGGGCACCTGTGTTGATTCCACCTTTTGGCTACTGGGAATAATGTTGCAATGATGTCAATGTACACGTATCTGTTTGAGTTCCTGCTTTAGATTCTTGGGTAGGGGGGTATATACTTTTGATGTCTCCAGTCCACTTGCACTCCACACCCATCGTAATCCTCCTCTCCCCTCCCCTCCTCATCTTCCTCCTCCTCCTCCTTCTTCTCCTCTGCCCCTCCCTCCCTCCTCCCCCCTCTTTCTCTCTCTCCTCCTCCCTCTGCTGGGAATCAAACCCTGGGCTTCGATCATTTGCTAGGCAAATGCTTTACCCAGTCACGTCACTCCTCTGCTTACACTTCGCCAAGGTCGGATAAAAATACCTACTAAGCAAGAATTCCGGATAAAGATGGAAGTGTCCCATGAGGCCGCCAGTTTCCTGAGCTCCGATCTGCTAGACTGTCCAAGTCACTTTGCCCCACCCTTTCCTCTAGCCTAGCCACCCCAGACTTCTCTCCATCCTGCTACAGAGCCAAGTTCCTTTTGGATTTCAACATGTTGGTCCCTTTTGTTCATCTTCCCCAAACACCTAGCTTTTGATATTCTTGGGAAACTCTTCCCATGTTTCTCATCCATCTTGCTGTACAATGTTCCCTCACACCTACCTTGTTTGTCACTATTACCCCTGTGGCCCCCTGTTCTGTCTTTCCCGACTCTCTGCTCACTTGACATTTAAGTGTTCAATGTCTGTCTCCCCTCCTGTAACCATGACTAATATTGGCCGAACACTTACTACATTTCAGGCTATTTTATGCACATCACTGGGTGAATTTATTAATTCCTTGCAGGAAATCTGCGGACTTTACAGATAAAGACGCCTGGGGTTCAATCACAGTCACAGCGACTACGCTGGCAACCAGAAGCCGCTAGGGACCCAGAGAGCAGTGCTGCCGGTCTCTAGCCTCCAGGCAGCATGTTTCCCTCCCCGCGCGGCATCCCCAACCCCTAGCACAGATCCCGGCTTACAGTGATCTCGGATTCATATCTAAACTGGGAGAGTGACTGAGCAGACCGAACAGAAAGCACAAGAGGGAGCTGAGTTTTGAATAAACTTTATTTACTTACGTAGCGGCTCCTGCGTGTTAAGCATCCTAACCTACCCCCCAGCTGTTTCCCCCGCCTAACAAGTGCGTATTAATATCTGCGTCCCAGGGATACTGACATGGTTGCGTTTTATTTTAATGTGGATTTGAAAAAGAATTGTTCCCGGAAGACTGGGTCCAGCTGGACTGACTGACATTTAGCATTTGCCACCGGGTCCTCAGACAGGGAAGGGGCTGAGAAGCTCCAGGCGGCAGACTCAGCTCCAGTAGGAGTACTGTATGGATTTGTGGCCACCTGCGAGGGGAGCCCCAGGGCTGGGCGGTGGCGTCAGCGCAGTCCCGTGGCCTCCCCGCCCCCTCTGGGGCGTCCGCAGCTCCGGAGCCCGCTGAGGCTAGGCGCCTGGCTCCGCCCTTGGGCCTCATTATCTACGTTTCCGCGGCAGGCGCGCCGTGAACTTGGCAGGCCCTCCCGGCGGCGGTCACCGGGAACACTTTGTGCCTCCCCGCCGCCGGCACCGCCCTGCCCGGCCCGGCCCGCGCGGTCCACAGGGCCGGGGTCCCTGTGCCTAAGGTATTCGCGCCCTTCGCACAGCCCCGGGGCTCCCACGCACTTGTCCTCGATTTCCCGAGCTCTTCGCCTTCGGGCTGGGCGTCCAAACGTGGGTCCTCTGAGCGTAATCAAGAGGTTCCTAAAGATGCTGTGGCCCATTTAAAAACAAAGCCCAATTATTAGCGCTCAGTGGCTGTTTCTGCCGGCCCGGTGTCAGGTCCCCCAGCGCCGAGGACAAGCAGCGCTCCGAGGAGGCTTGGTCGGACCTGCTCCGAGCACTCGGAACTGGCTGGAGACCACCCCCGGCCCGCGCCCAGCTCGTTCCTTCCCCGGCTGCAGAGCGCTGGCAAATCGCTGGGCTGCGTCCGTCACCGACTCGGTGCAATGGGGTCTGCTGCGTGCCTGGAGACCGCGCGCGCTGCACGCGGGTTACAGAGGCGACAGCGCTGTTATCCAGCCCTCCTCTCGCGAACCCCGCCTTCCCGAGGTGGCTGCTCGGCCCGGCCCGGAGCGCCCGGCTGCACGCGCGGCGCTGGCTCTAAAGTGCGTCACGGGCACCGGCGCGCGGCTCCGCCGGGCAGGGTGAGGCTGGCACGCGGCCAGCGCAGGCCGGGCCACACGAGTGCAGGGCCGTCTCCCAGGCTGGGACCCGGGCGTGGAAGGCGCTCGAGTGGCGCAGACCCGAGCGCTGCTGGGGGCGCCCTCCGGGACTGGCCGCGCGCCGGCGACAGCCCTTTGCAGCTTCACCGAGGGCGAAGGCTACGCGTTCTCCACCGCCCCCTCGCTTCTTCCTGCGCGGCGGCCGGCCGGGGAGGTTTCCTCCCCGGGAAACTACGCGGATCCTTCCCGGGGCTCCTCGCCCCGCCCCAGGTCTCCGACCCCTCCCCTTTGCTGGGGATCCCGGGCTGGGCCGAGGTGGGGAGGAGGCTCTAGCACCCTGGGCCAAGAGGCGGCGGGGGGCCGCGGAGCCGCTGGGCACGGACTCTGCCCGCCATGTGACGCCGTCCTCCTCTCCGCGATCCCCCACGCGTCCCGGCCCGCGGCTCGCCGCGCCGAGCACCATGCTCCTGCCGGGACACGCGCGCCCGCCGCCTGCGTCCCAGCCCGCGCAGCATCCCGGCCTCCGCAGGCAAGTGGAGCCGCCCGGACAACTCCTGCGCCTCTTCTACTGTACCGTGCTGGTCTGCTCCAAAGAGATCGCGGCGCTCACCGACTTCTCGGGTAAGAGCGCCCTCCCTCGCCCGTGCGCCCCTGGAGAGCCCGAGGGTGGAGGGCAGCCCCCCAGGGGCATGGCGGGCTGGATTGAAATTGAAGCGTGCGCCTAGCTGGTTTCTTGTTGGTGGCAGCCCTTGGCATATGTGATTGCGTGTGGGGTGGCCGCAGGGCGTCCTCCTCGGGAGGAAGGGTGTGTAACGCATTCAGAGTTTCTCGCCCTGTGTTGACTTCGTCAGTTGCCCCGCATCGGCCACCCAGTCCATCTGATGCACGCAAGCTCCCTAAGCCTAGCCCGGTGCCGCGCCCCGCACTGGAAGGTACACGTGCTGTGGTCGCGCGAGCTGAACTTAGTTTGCCACCCACAAGGGTGTGTCCCAGTCGGCCTCCTGGGTGCTCATGTAAGGGGACTGGCCCAGGTCACACGGGGAGTCCGAGCCGGGAAGGGGAGGGCTGGTGGAGATGTGGTGAGGGATGGGCAGATGTTCACGGGACAGAGAAGATACTCAGGGGCCTGACTGTACTGCCCAAAGCTGCCAGGATCCCTCCTAGTTTCTGATTCCCGTTTTCTTACACACACACACACACACACACACACACACACACACACGGTAACTCCAATCTTCCTCAAATGTCTTGGATAGTTTTGAGGTGGCAGGTGTGGCCTGGCATAGTAAAAGAAGTTTCTGGTTGGTGATGGCTCTAGGAATGTATGCATACAGTTGTAGCACTTGAGTAAGGTGACAAGTGTCCTCGCCACTGTGAGGACCCTGGCTCTCCATCAGGCAGATCCGGTGGCTGACATCCTTCCAGAGTCCAGCTGAGGAAGCGGCTCTGAGTCCTACACTCTGCAATCTCCGGGACTCTTCCGGCAAGTCCAGGCTTTGCATGGACCCTGGTGCAGGATCGGTTGCAGTAGAATCAAGGTGGAAGGAGTCACTGCCTGGTCCTATTTGTGCAGTAGACTAGTACGTGGCCAAGAACACTGGCAAAGCCTCCCCTGAGTTGGGTTTCTGATTTACTTACAGAGAAAGTCATTGTTAGCTGAGAGCCCTTAGGTCAGAGGTTCTTTGCTTTGAATATTTTATATCAAGGCAGTGTTCCTGCCTGGCAAAAGCAGCCAAGATATGCCTGTTTGGCAAGCAAGCTGTGGCCCTTAAAATCAAACCCCAGGGGATCAAAACGCGCTGGTAAATGTGCTGGGGAAATGCATCGGGGTTTTCAAGTGCTATTAACTTTTTCTCCCCCGCCCTTTTGCTCTCTTTCTGCAATAGAACTTTCTTGGCTGCTAGAAAAGCTGGGTATGCGCTGATTTAAGGTATAGCAAGCAGTCTTAAGTTCTACCACGGTCTCCTCCTATATATTGTAAAGCAAGAATGAAAAGCTGACATCTGGTGACCTCATGGCCACTGAACAAATATTGCTTCAGGCAAATTTCAGTGTAACCATTAGATTGTTTTCACAGACTATAGACACTTAGGGTTTGTTTCTTTGGGAAGCAGTTGCAATACTGTAACAGTCTAATAGGTTACCACCCAAGTCTGAAATTGTCTGCCTCTATGCGGCAACTGTGTAACAGTGGGTTTGCGCTATCACACTGAGAGGCTACAGGCTGAGGGAAAGCATGCTTTGACACAGGTTCTTCTAAATAATAAAAATGATAAAAGCCTTTTCCTTCCTTTCCTTACCATGCGAACCTCATTTCCAAGGTTTCAAACTCCAGGAGCCAGCAGCAGGGGGTGGTGTTGCCAGGTCTATCCACAGCTAGGCTCCATTTTCCCTCTGATCTGAGTAGCTCTCCCGGGACCTGAGAAACTTTCAGGGCTTTTTTCTGGGGACATGAAAAGACACAAGGTCCTTTCAAACCGTAGTCACCCTCAATTTCAAACCCATATTCTGTATAAGGTGGGATTGGGGAGATATTAGAAATGCCTCAGCAAGACAGAAAGATGAAGCCCTCCAAGGTTAGCTAATTTGTCTTAAAACATAAGGACCCTTTAGGGACCCCCAGCCGTGTGATGTGAAACTGCAGAGAGAAATTCCTAAGTTCTGAAAATGTCAGTCTTAGCGTCCAGTTGGATGTGTTGCTTGAAGCAGCAGATCCTGATCATGTAATTCCCTGTGGCCTCAAAACTTGCTGCCTGCTTTCCTGGGGACAAGCAGTTCCGTTTCTTTTTACGAACTTGGCAGAGTGTATAGCAATGGCACAGAGGCGTAGGCTGAGACAGTGGACCCTCCCCCGCAGAGCCTTACAATAATAGCTGAAGGCTAAAGAGCATGTCTGACAATGCAGACGTTTGCTTGTTTTCTAAATAAGGGAAACATTAAAAAACAGTAGAAGATGGAGGGAACTTGGGACCCCTTTACCCTGCAAAGGAGAAGGGAGGATGTTGCATCCCTTTAAAAGAAAATGTCAAAATGTCAGGGGTCCCAGCCGTAGCCTGTACAGTTCAGGGCTGCTCGGGAGATCAGCTGAGCCCTTTGAGAAAGTTACTTATGCCTTTCTCTTTTTTTTTGCAGCTCTTTTGTAAGCACTGGTCTGAACCTGTCAGCTGCTGTCCTTTTCTTGGGTCATTGATTTTTTTTTTCTCCTGGGGATTCCAGCATCACATCTCTTAATAACGCAGAGGCTGCATCTTGGCCCCTAGTTCCCCTCTCCATTCATGGCTTGTGCTAATCACCTCCAAGCCTTCTGGGCCACAGGCTCCCCAAACACCCCTCTTCTCTCTCCTCCCTGAAGATTTTGAGATGATGCCAGTGGCCACTGGAAGGTTATCATCACTGCATTAAAAATGGATCCCAGGGAAGGCAAGAGCACGGCATGCAAAATTAGTGCCTCTGATCCTTAAGCCCATCCTCAAATGTGGTTGGCTTCTATCCATTTCCCTCTTTGGGATGCAGTTTTCTGTTCTTTTGAATGCATTCCCAAATTGAGGATTTAGCCAGAAGGGTCCAAATTGATCATTGATTTTTTTTTTTTTTTTTTTTAAGAAAGCAGTTATCCCCTTTGTTTAGAAACTAAGGCAGGGAGCTGGATTGTGGGGGGGAGAGCCGAGAGGAGGACAGGTTACCTCTTGGGGTCCCTGCCAGAAGAAACAAGGCGTTCTCTATGTTTGCCTTGCCTCAAAGAGCAGACTTCAGTTTGTCTCTGGACTTAGTTTGCGACGGCCCCTCAATAGTTGTTGAATTTTTGGGTAGTTTATTCTGTTTTTTTGTTTTTTTTTTCTCCGGTACCGGGAACCAAACTCACGACCTTGCGCTTGCCAGGTAGGCACTTTGCCACTGAGCTAAATCCCCAGCCCCAGTTTATTCTGTTATTTCTTGGATTCAGGCAAGCTGAGTTTTCTCTTCCTTCCCCATTTCTTCCCTTTCTCTGTTTTCTTTTTTTCTCAGAGAAGTTCAGCTCAAAGTAGGGCTGAGGAGGGAGGGAGGGAAAAAAACGTATAGTTGTTCTAGTTCTCACGTGAGTTCCTAAAGAGCTCTCCTGACTTTGAACAAAGTAGTCCTGACCATATGTTTTCACGTTTGGTTTCATCCTGGTTCTAGCACGTGGTGGAAAATGTGAGAAACAGGAGGGAGAGGGGATGGGAGCAAGGAAAATGGAGACCCTTGTAAGATCTTTTTTGTCCCCAGCACGCCAAGAAAGGTCATGGTATGATGGAAGTGGTCCCTTGGGCTGATGTTCTGCTCTCGGCCGTCCGTAGCCCAAGCAAGCAGTGAGTGGTGCTTGATAACGGATGGCACTCATAACAAAGCACCACAGGCTGGGCGGCTTCAACAACCAGAATTTACTTTCTTATGGTTGTGGAGACTGGAAGCCCAAGATCAAGGTGTTGGCAGGGTTATTTCTGAGGTTTATTCCTGAGATAAAATACCCAACACCCATCACTCAAAGGAAAAGAGGTTTACTTGGGTTCGGTTTGTAGAGGATTTAGTCCGTAGGTAGTTGACTCCAACGCAGGAAGGGCGCAGTGGCAGGGTCCGCTGGAAGAGGCTTCTTTTCCTGGCTTGTAGCTGGCTGTCTTCTTGCTGGGTCCCCACATGGTCTTCCATGTGGGTGTCTCTCTGTCTTAATCTTCTCTTCTTATAAGAGCACCAGGCCTATTAGATCAGGGCCCATACTAATGACCTCATTTTAACTGAATCACCTATTTAAAGACTGCGCCTCCAAAGATGGTCACATTTGAAGGTAGTAGAGATTAGGACTTCAACATGTGAATTTTGGTGGGACACAGTTCAACCTACAGCAGACATCATTTACGTCCCAACAAATAAACATGACTGCTAGTTCCTTATTTCACTAGCCAGGAATTGCAGGATGTAGGAAGATGGTCATTCAGTGGATCTTAGGAGTTCTGGGTTGGGGCTAGCTCCTGCTGGCAGGGTCACAACTGTCTATGTCCTATTTTGCTCTCAAATAGTGTGTGACCCGGAAGCACACCGAGTGACTGGGGAGACTACAAAATTTATGAGTGTTCAGCTGTGCCCCAGGGCTTCTGATCTAACTGACCCAGGAAGAGCCAGACCTTGATCTCTTTTCTGATGCTGTCCAGGTGATTCTAACTGGCAGCTAGAGTTGAGAACCCATACCCTGGTGTCCTGAGGGGAGGGCTGTCTGCTGCCTGCGTATCCAGGGACACACCAGCATGGCTGGCTGGGGGTCCCCTGTACCCCCTAACCCAAGGCTCAGCACCAGGGAGACCAGGACTGTATTTTCCCAGCTTGTCTTGTCTGTCACCACTTCCCAGCACATACGCGTATGCAGGCACACACGCACGTACGTACGTACGCACGCACGCACGCACGCACAGACGTACACCTCTGCATTTCATTATGCCTCCACCACGCCATTATTTTGTTTAGGGTTATCATCCCTGTAAAACATTTTATGGGATGAAAAAGCAGCTGGTAACTAAAGAAAAGCAAGCCAAACGTCTGAAAGAGGTTTCCAGCTGTCACAGAGGAAGAGACATGAAGAGTGAGCACCCGAAACCGCTTGTCTGTTTCCA